ATCCAGAGTCTTTAAGCAGACAGAGTTGAACTGGGATGTCAGCGCCTCAATGGTGGTGAGAAACACCGGGGACTGAATGATCATTTCAGAGTTATAAGCATCTGTGAAACTTGCAGCAGTGAAGTGGCTAATGGCCCGGCTACTACGTGCAGGAATGCACGGCCTATGAGTTAAATGGGGGAGGTTGAACTCAAACCAGACTGGCATGTTGTCTGAAAAAACATTATCACCAATTTCAAGATTACTAACAGTCACATCCCGAGTTTTTTCGGCCTGTGACTGTTAGTAATTTTCTCTTGACGTTCCCTTCTCTACCGCATACAATTATTAAAATAAAATAAAGTACACACTAGGAGTGCGTGATATAATCTTTTTGTACTTGAAAACTGTACGTAAGTGGTGGTAAAGTATTTTCTTCGAGAGCTATGTAGTGAAGCTACAAGCTAACTATGGCCGGCTTGCCGTAGTGTTTCCGTTTTTGGACGCATGCACAAAACGCTGTGTTCCATTGAAAGTTTTTTTTTTTTTCCCATCGAAAGTAAGCGTTGGCCATCTTTAGAGAAACTTGCTTTCTGATCTGTAAAAGAACGCTGTGTTGTGTGATTTTACTGCGAGACCCTCTGGTCAAAGCCACAGATGCATTTTATGTCAGTTCTCCATTAAAGCGGAAGGAGACGCCCACCAGAGGGTTGGAGGATGAAGTGTTTCAGTGTGCACTTGCTGCTCTGTTGCTGTTCATTTCTAATGTGAGAATACTGGAAACCGTTAAGAGTTAACAACATATTCTTTAGTTTAAAACATATGGCTAAAACTACATTTGTTATTTTTTGCACTACAAGAAAGAAGCCTAATACTTGATGTGTTTATTATTTAAAAACTCTCTGGACCTATTGGTGGAATTTTCTTAATTCAAAATAAATTATGGCAAAAGGACACCATATGCTTTATTCTTTCCTATTGCAAGTTTTATACCAAAAACATATTGTGATATATATCGTTATCACCACCTTTCACAGTACATATAGTGATATGAATTTTATGCCATATCGCACATTCCTACTACACACTAATATCTTAAAGTTAGCGTTACACGGATAGTTAATGCACCATGCAATGCATGTTTTAAGCTGCAGCCACGAAGCTGCAATAATCTTAACAAATTTAAACTTACCAGCTGTAATCCCAGACACAGAGCCGTCCTCTTAGTTCTCGGATGAAGAGGGGTCCGGTCGTGGAGATGTTAAATCAGGCCATTCGGGCACTTTTACCCACAGGCTAACTTAAATACTGTGAGGAGGATGGCTGTGGTCCACTCTTATTGCAACCAAACACCGAGCAACCTTCCGCTCTTAAATTGATGCCGTGCATGATAAGATGCTTCATCAAATTAGTCGTGTTGCCAGCCTTAGCAACCATGTCTTTTTTACATATATTGTATTGTGCACTATTTGCATCAGTCTTTCTAAAATGGAGCCACACTTTTGATCTTAGTGGCATTTTTTAAGCGGTTCAACGACACACACTTAACACAACTAGTTCACACAACACAGATACACATGAACCTCGTCTGTGGGCTTAGCCATGTATGTCTGTGTTTTACCTGCCTGCATGCTGAAACCACGTGTCACGTTACAGCCGTTCACCGAAACTTGACACTGAAAGACGAGGCATGTTTTGATCCATACACCGACCGAAGCAGTTCGGTCGGTACCATAAAAGAACCGAAGCTTGGCACTCAGCCCTAGCTGTAGCATTGCTCGACTGCTACTGATTACAACTGGAGTAGAAAGTTTGACATCATTCTTGTCAGTGCTGGTTCGCTCAGCGACCGACGTCGAGCTGTTAACGGCGGTCCCGTTAGCCATCAAATTTGTTGACTCGTATCCAAAATGTGGCTTAAGTTTTGTTGTTACTGAGCTTTAAGCCCAGAGGAAAGTCCTTAGTGACAGCGGTCCCAGGCAGCACGCATGTGCATTAGGTGAATGTTCAAAATTCACTGCATCAGCTAATGACTTGTCATGGCAACTACAGCTGACTCGGGTGGGGGCGGGGTTCTACGGTTGCATGTAAATACCAAATGCGTCCGTGTCAAAAATGCATTTTTCCTCAAATCAACATCTGAAAAACTCTGTTTTGCCCACCCTTGTCCTTGTAAATGAGGCCTAAGAGCAACTGGCGGAAAGATCTCAATGCTCTTAGGGGTTATAAAAGTCAAAAAGTTCAGTTGAGTAATTGAGTGCCAAGCCATTTAAAACTTCAAAAGGCCTCTAAAGGATTTGTTTCTTGATAAACACTCTCCTTGTTATTTTTCAAGTATTTGTTTAGATAATTGTGGTCAATAAACCTTCTTTATTAATCTTGATTATCATAGTCTTTTTGATGGTCGCTGGTTAAGGAGGTCCTGTTCACGTCTGTTAAGTTCCTGGCAAGAACCGATGCAGTTCCTGTTTTTAATATTCTACACTGCCTCATAATCTAGCTGTTTTTTTTCTGTTTCTTTCTCCTTTTAATTATCATTTTGTTTTGAATTGTAAAAAAAACAAAAAAAATTGTATGAATCATTTATGAATGTCTATTGTTGTCGTTGTTATCCACTGTTGTCATCACTCTGTTAAATGAGTCCTCGTGGCTCAATGGGACTAACCTGTTTAAATAAAGGTTGAATTAAAAAAAAAGGTGGCCCTGTTCACACATTCAAACAGTGGGGTTTGAGAGGCTTTTGTGTTTGCCTGGTTTCATCCATCACAGACAGCCAAGCTTCCAGGCCAGACTAAGCTCTGAATCTCTTGTTGTTTTTTTCTAGGAAGTATGTGTTCTAATTGCCATAATTTCACAGATGCAAATTGTAGAGAGAAAGAGTCGAACCTGTTTTACAGCCAAAGCTCAAACCCCTGAACAGATAAACAATTTGTTATTTTCTTCTGTGATTTTTGAAGCTTTGGATTTGATTCAAGCTTCAGGTTTTATATTAAACCCTCATCCCTGTCTGTGATTCTTGTAGGCTTTAATCAAGGATGTTCACGAGGGATCAGTCACTGTGGCTTTTGAAAACAAGTAAGTACTAAATGGTAAATGGACTGTACTTACAGTGCGGAAAATAAATATTTGAACACCCTGCGACTTTGCAAGTTCTCCCACTTAGAAATCATGGAGGGGTTTGAAATTTTCATCTTGGGTGCAAGTCCATTATGAGAGACATAATCTTAAAAAAAAAATCCGGAAATCGCAATGTATGATTTTTTAAAATTTATTTGTGTGTTACTGCTGCAAATAAGTATTTGAACGCCTGTGAAAATCAATGTTAATATTTGGTACAGTAGCCTTTGTTTGCAATTACAGAGGTCAAACATTTCCTGTAGTTTGTCACCAGGTGTGCACACACTGCAGCTGGAATTTTGGCCCATTCCTCCACACAGATCTTCTCTAGATCAACCAGATTTCTGGACTGTTGCTGATAAACATGGAGTTTGAGCTCCCTCCAAAGATTTTCTATAGGGTTTAGGTCTGCAGACTGGCTAGGCCACTCCAGAACCTTGATATGCTTCTTACGGAGCCACTCCTTGGTTCTCCTGGCTGTGCACGTCGGGTCATTGTCTTGTTGGAAGACCCAGCCATGACCCATCTTCAATGCTCTAACTGAGGGAAGGAGGTTGTTCCTCAACATCTTGCAATACATGGCCCCGGTCATCCTCTCCTTAATACAGTGCAGTCGTCCTGTCCCATGTGCAGAAAAACACCCTGAAACATGATGCTTCCACCCCCATGCTTCACAGTAGGAATGGTGTTTTTGGGATGGTACTCATCATTCTTTGTCCTCCAAACACTACAAGTGGAATTAAGACCAAAAAGTTCTATTTTGGTCTGATCTGACCAAATAACTTTCTCCCATGACTCTTCTGGATCATCCAAATGGTCATGGACAAACTTAAGGCGGGCCTGGACGTGTGCTGATTTAAGCAGGGGAACGTTCTGTGCCATGCATGATTTTAAACTATGACGTCTGAAGCCTCCAGTATACTCCCGCGTACGTCCATACGCAGAGGTATGAGCGTACCTCCCAGGGCATGTCCGTGCAAAGCTCAATTTTTACGACCGCGTACGCGGTGTTGCACAATAAACTGCCCAGCGACGGACTGTTTTGTATACGACACCAATGTATTAAATTCCCCTTCTTCATCCCTGATCTGGCCTTTTCTTTTGTTTTTTTGCCAAGAGGCAGTGATCTCTTCCTCCTCCGTTGATGCCATGACTGAAATGGTGAGAAATGAAAGAATTTGTCACGAGCGAATTAAACTCAGGTCCAACGTGGCTGCGGGAGGGTCCGGAGATTTCCTGGTGGGCTGGTCTGATGTGTGGGCTGCAGAGCCAGCGCTCCCCGTTTTTTTTTTTTTTTTTAATTTTTTTTTTAGATAGTTTTATTAACTTATCAACACAGAACACTGCGGCTGCCAGCGCTCGTTTTTTTTTGTTGACCTGTCAATCAATCCAGTAGGCGTGTCAGCAAATGACCAATCGGCGACCTCAATTTGTCCCGAAGGTAAACGCCCCTTGTCTGTGAAGCTGCTCAGTGTGTACGCTGGAGTATGAAGTCTGAACCCTCTGCGTACAGTACACGCGTACGTACGTGTGAACGGACATACGTGGGAGTATACTGGGGGCTTTAGTGTTTTACCCACAGTAACCTTGGAAACAGTGGTGCCAGCTCTCTTCAGGTCATCGACCATCTCCTCTTGTGTAGTTCTGGGCTGATTCCTCACCTTTTTTAGGATCCTTGATATGCCACAAGGTGAGATCTTGCATGGAGCCCCGGTCCGAGGGAGATTGACAGTCATGTTTAGCTTCTTCCATTTTCTAATAATTGCTCCAACAGTTGATCTTTTCTCACCAAGCTGCTTGGCAATTGCCCCGTAGCTCTTTCCAGCCTTGTGGAGGTCTACAATTTTTTCTCTGGTGTCTTTGGACAGCTCTTTGGTCTTAGCCATGTTAGTAGTTGGAGTCTTACTGATTGTGTGGGGTGGACAGGTGTCTTTATGCAGCTAACGACCTAAAACAGGTGCTTCTAATTTAGAATAATAAGTGGAGTGGAGGTGGACTTTTTAGAGGCGGACTAACAGGTCTTTGATGGCCAGAATTGTTGCTGGTTGGCAGGTGTTCAAATACTTATTTGCAGCAGTAACACACAAATATATATTTTTTTAATCATGCATTGTGATTTCCGGATTTTTTATATTTATTTTAGATTATGTCTCTCACAGTGGACATGCACCGGAGAACTTTCAAAGTCACAGGGTGTTCAAATACTTATTTTCCTCATTGTATATAGTGCTTTTCTATCTTATCAAGACACTCAAAGCCCCTTCCAATACAATATGTCCCTCATTTACCCATTCATACAGCACTACTGGATCTCTACAAAGCTAATTGAACAAATCATTCTAAAGAGATTAATCTGTGCTTTATCACATTCATACACCGATGGGACACACATCAGAGGCAATGAGGGGTTTAGGGTCTTGCCCAGGGACACTTGGGCATATGACTGCTGGTGGATTCGAACCCCCAACTCTTGCATTGTAAGACGACTTCTCAAACCACTCAGCCACAGCATAAAATGTAATAAAGACATGATCAGTAATAATCAAACTATTTTTGTTGTGTTGTGTTTGTCCCAGTTGGCAGCCTGAACGTCAGATACCATTCCAGGATGTGCGCTTTCCTCCTCCAACAGGCCTCAGCAAAGACATAAATGAAAGCGATGAGGTTGAGGTAGGAAAGACTTAATGCATTTTTTAACAGTTATTGTCACAATCAGTCATGGTTTAGTTTGAAAGGAGAAGTTATGGATGAAAGAGGAAGCTAATACACACACATGCATAGGAAATTGTTTTACGGTGCTGGTGGATTTTATGAACAGGCATTTTAATTAAAATTTTATTTCAAATTTTTTGGTAGATATTCAATTATCCCCACCCCCCTTGAAAGTTTGTGAACCCTTTAGAATTGTTTGTATTTCTGCATAAATTTGACCTAAAACATCATCAGATTTTTACACAACTCTTAAAATTAAATAAAGAGAACCCAGTTAAACAAGAGACAGAAATATTATACTTGATAATTTATTTATTGAGGAAAATGATCCATTATTACATATCTGTGATTGGCAAAAATATCTGAACCTCTAGGATTAGCAATTAATTTGAAGGTTGTCAAGTTAGGTGGATGAAAAGAGGTGTTGAGGTCAGACTGCCCATGTATGGTGGAGGTGGACAGTTTGAAGAATGCAATCTTAAAAGTTAATGAATGTTCAATATAATAAGTTTTGTGGGTGTGTTGATTAAAATAAAGATTTTATGTCTGTCAATGTCTTGAAACAATCAAATGTTATTATTATATTTTTTGTAATCAGAAAGATCCTATATAATCTATTTTGTGATCAAAGAAGTATTCATGAAGTGATTGTAAGGTAGATCTGGATTTCACTTTTAATTGTTAAGTGATTTTAGAAAAAGGGGTTTTGTCAGTTTATACCTCTCTTTTAGTAAGTATATTTTTGACATTTAGGATTAGAAGTGCTGCGTTGAGAATATAGTGTGTCAAGGTCAGCTTTGCTGTACCTTCACTAAAATATAATTTAAATAACGGGTTCTCTCTTTTTCGAGCTAATTACAGCCATGTGACAGAAGTAACTGTGCGTAGATGGTTTAATCAGTGACATGAGACATTAATTTTCTTTGACCCATCAAAATAAATGTGGTCATTTATTGAACAGAATCAAAATTTAACATCAAAACATTGTACACTTGATTAGTTGATCTGGTTCTGATTAATAAAACTTGGCACGTTTTACTTAATAAAAACAACAGACATTTCTGAAGATATCTAGATTAATTACTGGCAAAATAGAAGAGTTTAAAGATGGGAAAATGGAGGACGTTTGTCTGTGGACCAGAACAGCATGCTCCTTTCAAACGCAGCTCGCCCTCGGCCCACTTAGTGCGTGAAGCTCGTGACGACTCTGTACCTTGGCAGAGGATGGGTCTGCTACGGTCAAGAGGTCCCTGGCACGCTACCTTTCAGCGTCTCCTCAGGGCGGCTGCGACTCGGCAGAAGTCGTGAGATACTCCGTTCAACAGAACAAACTTCCTCAGAAGTTGTAGGGCATTCGCCGGGTGAAGTCACAGCGAGGCGCCGTGACTCCTGCAGAGATGGATGACTCCATCACACTGAGTTCAATTCAAGACTGAGAACTCAAGACTGAGAACTGCAGAACTACAGTACTGACTCCAGAACTCCACTCCAGAACTCTAGAACTTCAGAACTCCCTCCAGAACTTCCCCAGAACTCCAGAACTTAACAGTTCCAGGAAGTGTCGACTTTTAAAGAGTTCTCACTTTAGGACCTCCTGATTGGTTGAAGCAACCAACAGGGAGTGGTTCTAGTGATGTCAGAGGCTCATTACAAGTCAAGAAAACAGCAGGAATGTTTTGAGAACGGTTGGTTACAGACGAGAAAATATTTTGGAGAAATGACAGACTTACAGGTGCCAGTTTTCTTATTTACTGTCTGAGAGTTTTAAAAACACCACACTTCGTTCCAATAAATTCCCTCTGACTTTCGACCGACATCACTACTTCTCATTTAGACAGAAGATCAAAAATGCATAATTACTTTGTAAAATAGACATTTTAACTTCATTTCTAATTTAAATGAGCATTAAAAAAATCATTAATACTGTTTCACAGTTGATTTAAAATGAGTGGTTCACTCCAACATTTAAAAATGGTATGAACTAAACACACTTTTGATTTATCAAGATATTGTAAAATAGTGATGATAATATAAAAGAAGAGTGTTCTTTCAATTGATTACTTCAGGATACAGTTAGACAGTCTCTGGATGAGCTAATTTGTATTTCTGGATTCAAATCCATGAAATAACAGTTCCTGTCCCATGAAGGTCCTCAGAGGCAGGTTTTGGTCGGAGGCAGAGTCCACTACAAGAAACAGTGTCAGTTGAAGCAAGTGACAGGAAATTCATTAGTGTGATTATGCTTCACACACACACTTCCTGTTAAACATAAGTTGTCTTGTTCTGCAAAGGCACAAACTGAGTTTATACCTCTCTTTTAGTAAGTATATATTTTTTGCTTTTAGGATTAAAAGTGAGTTTATACCTCTATTAGTTCTTTTTTACATTTAAGATTAAAAGTTGAGGGTTGAGAAATAATAGAAATGGCTGCCAGAGAGGAGGAAGTGAGCAAAAGTTGTAACACCAAGATACAATTAATCTGCGCACCTGTCAAGAGCTTATAACAGAAAGTAAGTATGCTGTCTAGACAAGTTGTTGCATAAAACCCACAAGCTGGAAAAAAAGGAGACAAACTGTTGAACTGTTGAAAAGTCTTCAAAATGGTTGACAAGTTTTCAAAATGGATGATTAGGTCAGAAATGAGCCAATCGGAGACGAGAGATGAGTTTAAAAAGACAAGATAGCAGACAAAGGTCGGTCAGTCATTTCGGGTAGAAAAGGAACACGGTCGTCAAGCCCTGAAGACTTGGATCAGATCTGAAGATTGAAGAGAGAATATTTTGGCTGCAGAAGAGCTGAGAAAACAACAAAAGATGGAAACTTAAAGCAATGAAGAACCTCTCAGCAGCACATGATTGCCCTTCAAGAGGACTGACTCCAGATAACTCTGAACATTTCTGATTGGAATTAATTATATTTGATGACCGTTTTCGACAAAGGCTGTAGGAATTATTCTCCTTTTTCGTGGAAAACCGACCCAATCATGGGATATACGGTAGGAAGCAGCCTTCTTGAACCATTTTACCCGATTTAAAAATTACAAGTTGCATTTTGTGGTTTTTCTTAGGGACAGCACAGTTAGGGTGTAGGCCGATTACACGAGATTATTATAAGAGATTGGTGCATTCACACCTAGAGGAATTTGGATTTTCACCTGTTTTTTTATTTTTATTTCATTCATTATACTGCTTTTTAAAAAAAAAAAATGCATTTGCACTGCTGCCGGATTTTTGAAAGCTACAAATGTAACCTTATACAAATTTTTGATTAATTCATTCATTCAACCTTTATTTATACAGGTAAATCCCATTGAGCCTCAAGGACTCATTTACAAGAGAGACCTGATTTCAACAAAGAATGATGACAACAATGGACAACATCGACAACAACAGACAGTTATAAAAAGGCATACAGATTTTTTTTTTTTTTTTTTTTTTACAAATAAGATGGCAAAAAAGTTAAAAAAACAACTAGATTATAAGGTGAATGTAGAAAACTAAAAACAGGAACATGTCTGCATTGGTCCTTGTCAGGAGTCCAACAGATTTTTAAAGCCATTTAGAGAGGTCATGGTTGAGAGCTTCAGGTCTTTTTGTAAGGTATTCCAGGAAACAGGAGCGGAGTAGGAGAAGGCCCTTTTGCCAAGTTCAGTCCGCAGTGAGGAAACACTGCAGGTAATAATGTCTTGAGAGCATATGTTGTAGCTGCACTCACACAGAGACATGTAGGAGGAGATGTATGAAGGCAGCGGACCAAGAAGTGATTTAAAGATGAAAATGTACCAGTGAGAGAGTCTGCATCAAGTTAATGATGACCAGTTAACCAGTGAATACAGGGTGCAATGATAGGTACAATAATCACAGCCAGTTATGAATCTTAGTGCACCATGATAGACAGCATCTAACATCTGTAGGGTTCTTGTAGGAGCGTTCATGTAAGTAATGTCTCCGTAATCAACGGAGGGAAGGAAAGTCACAGATACAAGGCATTTCCTAGCATTCAAAGTTAGACAGGATCTGTTTCTGAAAAAGAAACCCCGTTTAACTTTCAGTTTCCTTACCAGGTTTTTCGCATGGAGCTTAAAAGAGAGATGTGAGTCGACCAAGATACCCAAATATTTATAGGAATAAACAAACTCAATAGGGACATCATTTGAGGATAAAATTGGATGAAGAAATGCTGGGACCGACTTCCTGTTTGAAAAAGCATCCCTTTGGTTTTGTCGGCATATAGGACAAGTTTTGAGGCGGAACAAATCTGACTGGATGATATTAAATGCAGATTGCAAAAGCTGGAAAGACTTAACTGTTTTAATAATAATAATAATCATTTTATTTAAAAAGCATCTTTCATGACACCCAAGGACACTTTACAGTAAGAACAAAGATCAACAGGAATAAATTACATAAAGAATGTAAAATACATAAAGAATATAAAATACATACAGAATATAAAATGCGTAAAGACTATAAAATACCTGGTGGAGAGGCGGGCAGAGGGTACATGGAGGTGTAGTGAAGAGGAGGATCTGAGAGAGCGAGAGGGGATGGAGATGTGTAAGAGGTCAGATAGGTACGGAGGGGCAAGGTTGTGGATAGCTTTGAAAGTGAGAAGAAGAATTTTGAAGACTATGCATGATTTAACTGGGAGCCAGTGGAGCTGCTGCAGGACTGGAGTGATGTGGTTATAGGAGGAGGTTTGAGTGATGACACGGGCAGCTGAGTTCTGGACCAATTGTAGCTTCTGGAGAGATTTGTTGGGGAGGCCATAAAGAAGGGAGTTGCAATAGTCAATCCGAGAAGTCACAAGACTGTGCACAAGGATAGCTGTGGAGCGGGGTGTGAGAGAAGGGCGGAGACGGTTAATATTTCTGAGATGGAAATAGGCAGACCGAGTAACATTGTTGATGTGTGAAGTGAAGGAGAGAGTGGTGTCGAGGATGACACTAAGACTCTTGA